TTCATAGATGGGGTAGATGTTGAGATGGGCCAATTCAAAACCCGGGATCTGGGCCTGGGAGATAGCTGAGTTGGTCAGCCCACCGACTTTCTTGTACCCACAACACCAGGTCAACTCTCCCGCACTGCAGCTCCCTCCCCCTAACTCAGCCAATAGGTAGCCAGCTCTCCTGCTCTCATGCCCTCCAGGGCCAGCTCACTACCCCATTCCCCACCCCTACCCTGCCCCTGCCACAGTGCTATCTCTGTCATACTGCCCAGGCATGGTGCAAGGCCTGCTCTCCTGAGTGCTTTAGCCAATGGACCAGCTCTGTGCAGCCCTTGGACATCAACATGGTTTCAGGCAGCAGCCCAGACCAGAGATGTCCACATACACTTGCACTTTTTAAAGGTTTTTAGATTCATAGAACTAATCTCTCTTCCAGAAAACTGACAAATTTATACTAATACTATCAAAGTGAGAGAGGGATTAGCATTCTACATGTTGATTTGGTAGATCTAAATACAGAAGTACAGAGTGTTAAACTTTACTTCCTTGATCACTGACTAGTCTGCACACCTTTTCATTTACTTATGAGACGTTTTTTCATTGTGCATTAGTAAAGAACCATATTTTTTCTAGAAACAGTTGAGTAGTTTAGAAAAGTATGTCCAATAACCCAGCATCACACAGGATTCTAACAGTGAAGAATGTTGCTTGTGAAAGTCAGAATCTAATGCCAATTGAATGGTGGTAGTTTTGTCAATAAACAAGAATATGAAAAAATAAAATAAACAAGAATATGCTCTTCCATGACTAAAAAAGTAAAATATTTTTAAGTGAAAAATGTAGCATTGGAAAAGAGATCTCATTTGTTAGGGTTTCTGGTTGAGGTGTGCGGCTTCAGAAAGTAATATGAGATGCTTCAGGGCAGGCAGGATAGCACAGTTACCTACCCTGAATTGGTAGTTACAGAAAAAGGGGAGCAGGTATATGGAAAACGGATGATATTTAAGTTCTGTAGCTCACAGAAGTGGTATTTCTTTCCTGTTTGGGTAACTGATACAGTAAAGTGCACCACTATTACTGGGGAAAGTCAGCAGATTTCACAGGAACTCCATGTACTATCTTTTCAACTTTTGTATGTACAATTCAGTCCCTTCTGTTATCTTAGCCACATTTGAAGTATCCCTATATGACAAGATATAGCCCTATCAGAGAGTGTAGAATAATATGCATTAACTTAGGAAGTTTTATTGACTAACATGTATTCTTTGATTTATTTCAAATTTTAGTATGACAAATTCTTCCATGTTAATTTATTAACCAATTGTTTGGTTACTATTCAGGCCTAAGAAAAACATTTCTGTCTATTTCTGAAATTTCACAGAAAAAAATATTTGTTTTGTTGTTGTGTTGTGCTCATTAAAAAACTAATTTGACATGTTTTAACATATATTACTCATATTTTATTAATATAAAATCACTAACTATATTAGAAAATAGTCCTGAAATATCCCATGTAGTTATCCGATAGCTTCTCAACGTTATTAGATACTTCCCCCTGTATCTTTATTCAACATTCTTTAAAAATATTAGCTTGATAGCTAGGTACTGAACACCTATAATCCTAGCAGTTGGGAGGTTGAGGCTAGCTTAGGCTACATAGTACCAGCCCATTCAGGGATATATAGTAAGACCCTGTCTCAATTCCCCTCAAAAGTAAAACATTAGGTTTCTAAAAAGGTATAACTTCTTAATGCTTGACATTATTTCTTTTTAAATTGTATTTGTATTTATGAGTATGCTTGTGTCTGTGTGAGCATATGCCATGTATGTATAGGTGTTCCCAGAGGCCAATAGAGGGCATCATATCCCTGAGAAATAGCATTACAGGTAGCTGTGAGCTGTCTGATGTGGTTGCCGGAACTGAACTCAGGTACTCTGGAAGAACAGCAAGTGCTCTTAACCACTGAGTTATCTATTTTGTTCCAGCTTACTGCTATTTCTGTACTTTGTGTTGGGTTGTTCTGTTTATATGTCTTTTTTAAAGGTAATTTTTCTTCCATTGCTGTTTAACTTTTGTTCCATAACACATTTTATGGTTGGGCTACATTATAGTTTTCCTTTATTACTAAACACATCTGTTACTATTGAACTTCTTGCTGCATCAGCTTCAACCAGTCGGAATATACCTAGTTATATGTAAGCCTCCTAAAATTTTGAAGACAAGCAGGTTGGGGATGAGGCAGTAGTTAGTTCAAACTCCATTCACATAGCAACTAAATTCAGACACAGGAACAAAAGCAGGGTTAAGAAGCAGGGTATGATGGCATACCCCTATAATCCTAGCACTTGAAGGGCAGAGGCAGGAGAATTGCTGCAGGTTGGAAGCCAGCTAGGGATACATAGGATGCCTACTCAGATCTATCTCGAGAAAACCATGAAGAGGAAGGTGATAGAATATTAGAATTAACATTTATATTTGGTTGGAAAAATAAAAGTATTATGATAATATCAGTGTTCCTTCCAGATCATAAGTTTATTACATTTGTATTCAAATTAAAAGAAAATTCTTAAAACTAACAGTTGAACAGTTTACCTAGAACACAATCAAAGAACATTTAGAAGGTAAGGTATCAGAAATTAGGGATGTGGGTTGTATCACAAGTTAATAGAACTTTATAATAGTACTGGTACAAACACAGTTACCTTAGATCCAAAGAACCATCAGTTAATATTGTAATTACTATAAAATTTTAACACAAGAAAGATTTCTTTCAGTACATGGTAGTGAATGTCCACAATCCTAGCACACAGGAGACAAAGGCAGGCAAGTCACCAGTTTGAAGCCAGCCTAATTAGACCCTGTCTCCAAACAACTATTCTTTTACATTAATAACTTCTGTACTCACTAAATTCCCAATACCTAAATATGTAAAAGATAACATAGATTGCCTTCCATAAATAAACAAATGAAGTAAATATAATAGCATTTAGGATTAAAGAAATAAAATATGAATATTTTTGTTTTTAAGTGGGTAAAGATTTTTATTATTAAGATGCCAGTAATGCTGGGCATGATGGAACACACCTTTGATACCAATACTCAGGAGGCAGAAGCAGGTGGATTTCTGTGAGTTCAATGCCAGCTACATAGCATGTTTCACACTAGCCCTGGCTACATAGTGACACCCTGTCTCAAAACAATCAACCAATGACAGTGATGAGTCAGTGAGACTTGCATTCTCCTTCACTGCTGTAATTATTTTTACTAACATTGCCTTGATGCACTGTTCTTGATTCATCCGTATTACACATTCAGTGGTTCAGCAAAGGTTGGCTATACCTTTGAAATGGATACATCCAAACATCTGCTGCACTGTTACTATCTTGGTCCTAGCTTCCCAGCATTGCAATCCTGTTTATTTCCCTGTTTCTTTTCCTGTCTTCTATGTGCCTGAAAGCAACTGTTGAAATCATGAGTTTAAAAAGTGACTGTCTTTGGATGATCTTCTGAGTGTCCCAGTGCACTCACAGTTAATGGAACTCAGTTCCATTATAGAGATCTAGGGCTCATACATGGTTAAAAATCCTCCTTTCCTTTATGACCTTATCTCTTATAATATTCTTGCTTTCTCTGCTTCAACCACTTTAACCTCCTTATCCTTGTAGTAAATCAAGTAGGTTCCTATCTCAGGACCTTTGCACTTAAGATTTATCTGCCTGACATGATTTATCTGATAATACCTGTTTGCCACACTCCCTCTCTTTTTACAGATCTTTGTTCAGATGTCAATAAAGTTGCCTCTGGCTTCTACTATTAAACACCTTTATTTTTTTCTAAATCCTTTCCCTGCTTCATTTTTCTTAATAACACATATCTATTGGGTCATATGTTTATTTACATTTTACTGTTTTTTCTAACTACATTTTCACCTCAGTAAGAGCAAAGCCATGACTTCATTTACTGCTATAACCCACCACTAGCACTTAGAGCAGACAGCATAGTAGACATTCTCTGGCTTGTGGTTAAATGAATATATTGGCAGACATTTTGTAAAAACTACTACAGATTTTACAAGCTGTTTTTTTTAAAGTAACAATGATTAAAGAAGTCTTATGAATCTGGTAAAAAGAAAGAGGGGGGAAGGGAGGAAAGAAGGAAGGAAAGAAGGAAGGAAGGAGAGAAGGAAGGAAGGAAGGAAGGAAAAGAAAGAGATGTACATGAATATGGTCCAGAAATATGGGACCAAGAACAGTAATGAAGGTTGTTTTTCTATACTTAAGTACAGAGAAGTTGATAGAAGAATAATTTCCAATTATAGAGGAACATTCAAAATTAGGAACAGGCCCCAAGTGTTGGCAGTCTTTGAGAAGAGGTTAAGTTGATGGAAGCAGACAGTAGGTGCAGTGGAGTAGTAGAACTATGGAGATAGGTGGCTTAGAAACATGTCAAGAGGCCTGCAAGTGAGTCAGAAGGCTATTCTGTTTGTTTGCTTGTTTTGTTTTTTTGTTTTTCTCTATGTAGCTCTGGCTGTCCTGGAACTCCCTCTGTAGATCAGGCTGGCCTCAAACTCAAAAGATTCATTTAATTCTGCTTCCTAAATGCTGGGATTAAAGGGATGTGCCACTACTGCCCGGCCAGAAGACTATTCTTGATCCACAAACCATAAGGATAAAACTGTCTAGATATAAGCTTGTAACTGTCATACAAGAGGCAAGAAGAGTCATACAGGAAGTATCAATTAGCCATATACAAGGAGGCAGGGTTGAGGTACTACGTGAAGTACTGAGTATAGAATGTGAGAAAACAAAGACCTATAGTAAATATCTACAACAAGTGATATGATGGATAATAGAGATCACTGATTAACTGCATGTGTTTAATTATTTTCTTCTTCTATTCTAGGTTTCTCTGTCCCTCACAAAAATGGATCACTTAAGGCCTGGGAGGACTCAGTTATCACAGGACTCCTGTACCGTCAACTAAGGTTTATATGACAGTTCATAGAACCACTGAAGAGTTAAAAGAAGATATTCTTTCATAGAAATAGTCCTATAGTATCATGTTACTAAAGAAAACTAAAGTGTACATATTTAAGTTATTAGACTTGCTAATATAAGCATAAATGTGCAGCAGCTACTGTATACTGATAGCTACCAAACCTCAAATTTAAAGATTTCCCTTCATGGAAAAGTTACTATTTTTTGCAAGAAACCACTGAACACTGTCATCAAATATTTTTTCAGCAAAGTATCATTTAGGAAATTTTTCTTGAAACAAACTCTATAAAGTTCTAAGTCCTACCATTGAGTGAATTTGATATTATGGCAGCAACTTACAGACTTGTGGTTAGCACTGTGAACCATTATAGCAGTGTACTGATAGACCGGCGCTTTGAACAAGCCATACATTATTGCACTGGAACCTGCCATACCTTCACACATGGGATAGACTGCATTGTGGTGCATCATAGTGTTTGTGCAGACCTCTTGCATATCCCTGTATCTCAGTTCAAAGATGTGGATCTGAACTCTGTGTTTTTGTCTCATGAAAATGGGCTTTCCTCAGCTGAAGACTATCCCCATCAGGCCCTCACAGGCATACCCAGGGCCAAGAAAGCATCTACATTTCAGAATACCTGTAACTTAAAGGACATTGCAGGAGAAGCAATCAGCTTTGCCAGTGGGAAAATAAAGGAATTTTCCCTTGAAAAACTCAGAAATGCAAACCATGCAGCTTACAAAAAAGGAAGAAAAGTTAAATCTGACTCATTTAATAGGAGGTCAGTTGATTTTGACTTACTCTGTGGCCATTATAACAATGATGGGACCTCTCCATCCTTTGGCTTACTCCGGAGTTCCTCAGTGGAGGAAAAATCTTTATCTCATAGAAATTCATTAGATACAAACCTGACTTCCATGCTTTTTCAGAGCTTGTCTGAAGAAGATCTAGTTACGCAGATTTTGGAAAAACATAAAATAGATCATTTTTCTCCTGGGACAGACATAAAAATGTGCTTGGACATCTTACTGAAATGCTCTGAAGATTTGAAAAAATGCACAGACATCATAAAACAATGTATAAAGAAAAAGTCAGATGGAAGCATCAATGAAGGAAGTGGCAATGAGGCAATTTCTAACTCTGAAACTGTCTATATGAATGTAATGACCAGGTTAGCTTACTACTTGAGAAAGTTACCATTTGAATTTATGCAGTCTGGGAATAATGAGACCATAGAATTGACAGAACTTGTCAATAATATACCTAACTTACAACTGACTCCATTCTCCCCATTATATGGGACTGAACAACCCCCTAAATATGAAGATATTGTCCACCTCTCAGCCCTTGACTCTGCACAGTTTCAGACTATTGGATTGCAAGATGACAAGTATAATTTTAAACAAGCAGACACTGTAAAAGCCACTCCAAACAACACAAATTCCTTGTGTAGCTTGGAGGTAAACGATCCTGGAACTCTAAAACCTATGCAGCTTCAATCACCGTTATTAACCATAAACCATTTAGAGAATGTTTCTTCTGGTAACTTAATGGAAACTCTGTATATTGAAGAAGAGTCAGATGGGAAGAAATCATTATTAGATAAAGGACAAAAAGCAGAGAATGGACAAGGTCAGGAACCATTAAAGGTAAATGAACATAAAGAATTTTCAGACCATGATACCTATCTTAAAAAATGTCCTGCCTCAATGCAAAATGAAATTGGTAAGATATTTGAAGAGCCAATGATGGTTCATCCACCTAAGGAAGATTCTAAATTAGAAGTTCCTACCACAGAACTCAGAGACCAGAGACACTTTATGACTCCTAACAGTCAAGAAGAGATAGACAAATTATTAATGGATTTGGAATCGTTCTCACAGAAGATGGAGACCTCTCTAGGAGAACCACTTGCCAAGGGTAAAAGCATCAATTCTCTAAATAATCATAGTCATTTGACTGGTCAGATCCACAAAGATCTTGAGCCTAAACCTGTAGTCTCTTCAGCTACTGAAAAAGTCTCACCTTCTTGTCTAACAAGGATTATTGAAAACAATGGACACAAAATAGAGGAAGAGGACCGAGCCCTCTTACTTCGAATTCTGGAAAGCATTGAAGACTTTGCTCAAGAACTAGTTGAATGCAAATCAGGCAGAGGGAGCCTATCACAAGAAAAGGAAATGATGCAAATTCTACAGGAAACCTTGACAACTTCTTCCCAGCCCACTCCCTCCATCTGTAGGAGCCCTGTTGGTGAGAAACCCAAAGATAGTACTTCAGTTGTTTTGATTCAGCAAACACCAGAAGTGATCAAGGTAAGATCCAAAAATCACAAGTTCTGATAAATTTACAAATACATTTTATTGTTTGCAAAATGTATAAACACAAACTACATTTGTTAGCCACTTTAAATTCTGTGCTAGGAATAATCTCAATTCAGTCAAAAAAAAGCAAAGGATTTGAATCACACAGATTGTTTTTATCTACCCTATTCATGCACTCTATCTTCCAAGTTCTGTGACTAAAAGAAAGTTACTTAGCCTTAGTATCTATCGCTGTCCTCACATAAGATGTGAGTAGTGAAGCATGACACTTACACAGAGTAGATAATTTAATATTAATCCTCCCCAGGTAACCAAAAAATCGGTACTTCACATATGTGCACCTTTTGTAAGCTGCAGGATAAGGTACAAGAGAGCCTGATTCTTAAAGAGCTGAAAATCTAGCTCATGAGACAAAACTAATGTTCCTGAATAGTATGTTCAAACACTTTCTTAAAGTACCATCAGTGCAGCAAGCCTTCAAAGAAAGTGTGTGTGAGATTTCTCTATGCACGTAAGGATGAGTAATGATCTAGAATCAAAGAAGTGTTCTCTGAAGGTTTTTAATGTCCACTACTTATTTTACTGATTGTGACTTCTTGGAGAAAGACAATTATCTGCCCATTTGTGTAGAGGTGTTTTTCAGTGAAGCATGATTATTCTTTCTCAGAATGTCTATGGGTTAGATAGAGACTCCTTCCCATCCCGTTTAAAGACTCAGTTTGATGAAGCCTCCGTGTTCTTAATGTTGTCCTATTGTACAACCTGGCATATGTAGAATCTGCAGCCTGTGAGTTCACCAAGAAGAAAAAAGAATGGTGTTTTTAAACAGTCTGTCCCAAATATGACAGACTTCACTTTAACTCATATTCTGCTGTTCCTGACTGAAAATTTGTGACATGTATAGAAAGAAGCACATCAACTATGTGCTAAACCCAGTATCTACCATATAGAGTTTATAAATGTAGACATATATTCATTCACAGATTATAAAGCCAAATTAATAAGAGCAAGTTATAAAATAGATGAATTATTTTGAAATACACACATTTGTACTAAAAATGTGACAAAGTGCAGGGATACAACAAATACAATGTTCAGAAAAATAGTCTGGGAGAAGGGGAGAAGATGTGAGCGGAAAGATGGGCAGAGGGCCTCAGTAGTTTCCATATATCATTTTTCTGCTCTGGCCGGTAAATATCTAGTAAGTAGTTTCTCAGGTTATTTATGCCATTTGTATATTCCTCAACATTATATAATTTTTAGAAGTTGAATTTCAGAGATAAAACGTATATGGCCAAGTTAAAAAATAAACCCAATGTCAGCCATAGTGGCTCATGCCCATAATCCCAGCACTCAGGAGGCAGAGTCAGGCAGATCTCTGTGCGTTCAAGTCCAGCCTTATCTGCACGAGTTCCAGGACAGCCAAAGATACATAGGAAGACCCTGTATTAAAAATAAACAAACAAATATCTAAAATTTTTTAGCCTTGTTAAAATTTTTGTTTGAGGGCCAGCAAGATGGCTCAGAGAGTCAAGGCACTTTTCGTGCAGGCTTAGTTCAATCCCTGGGCCCATGTAATGATAAAAGGAGGGAACTCACTCCACAAGTTGTCCTTTGACACCTGCACACGAGTGCTCACACAGACATATCATGCATACACATACACAATAATACATAATTTTAAAGGATTTTTCATTTTTTTGTTTGGTTTTTTGAGACAAGGTCTCATTATATAGCCTTGACTGACCTCAAACTCATAGATTACTGCCTGCCTCTGCCCTCTGAGTGCTGGGGCTACAGACTGTGCCGCAACATCCAGCAAGATTTAAATTTTAAAGTCCTTGTTACAAGTATGTGAGTACAGTGCCTGCAGAAGACAGAAAAGGCTATTGGCTCCCTTGGAGTTTGAGTTGCATGCAGTTGTAACCTGCCCCGTATGAATGCTGGGCACTAAACTTGGACCATCCGGGAAATTATATGCATTCTTAGTTACTGAGCCATCTATCCAGCCCAATATATCATTTTTAAAACTTCTTTTGTTCTGGGCATTGTGGTACAGCTCTGTAATCTCAGAATTGGGAATGTAAAAGCAGGAGAACCATGAGTTTAAGGCTATTGTGGACTTCAACTATGAGTTGAAGACTGACCTGACCTGACCTCCGTAGAAAGACGCTGTCTCAAGAAGACAAGAGCTGGGGAAAGAGCATTTGCCTGTCGAGTAATACCATGTCGGTCTGGAGGAGATTATTTGACAAAACAAAAAAGGTGAATTGTGATAAGGTGAATAATTTCTACGTGGTATACATTTATGGCCACTCTTCTGTGTGTACGTTTTTAGTTGCCGGAAACATTAAAATTTAAAACAATATAGTACATACTTAGGTATTAAATGATGTTTTTGCTCAAATGTTCACTGAGCATTTATGGAAACTATGGAACTCATTTATTGATTCACAAATGTGATAATGGTTAGTTTTAGAGAAAAAGCCCAACTCTGAGAGTCCCAGCGGATTGTCCTATCCATCCAAGAGATGACAGTGCTGAAGGCAGGAAAATCGTTTTATAAAAACACTGCACCCACACCAGGAGGGCAGTGTCTTCAGAGAACTGACAGCTTTAAAAGGTCTAGAAAAGGGAACAAAGGCAAAGGGTAAAGGTTTGCATAGCTTAGCAAAGCAAGCAGTCTTAGGTAAACCATGGTCGGGTTGATCATTATCACTAAATGATAAGTTATGCTTTTTGGTCACAAGGAACATTGCAGTTGCCTGTTGGAGTTGTTCCACTCCTCATGGGATACTTATATATCAGATCATTTCTTCTAGAATACAGGGTTACGGCAGGAGAGAATGACAAGTCAGAAACAGCAAGATGGAATGAGTTCCTTTGGGTTTAGAGCAAAGACTGGAGACATCAGATGCTGCTTCAGTATTCTGGACTTAGTTACTCTCATTTGGTGTATTGGGGTGGGATAGGATTAGCAGCTTCAGACAGATAGTCTTTAAATGGTTTACATATCTATGTGCAGAGTTAAGCAAGAATCTGGCCCAAATTTTAGGGTAGCGAAGGAAATAGTTGAAAAATAACACCAAGTTTTTAATCTTTTGTGTCATGCACACCCAAATGAAGAGTCAATGATTTTAGCAGGCACAGCCTGAAAGTCCCTATATTATAATCTTGAGTTCAGTAGGGTTGTCACTGGAAAAGAAACTAAATAAGGTAATTACAAAATAAAAAAGTTTCTCATATTCAAGATAATACTGATGTGCTTAACATGTTATAAAAGACAAAAATGCCTGTGTAGAGGCCCCAGAATGCTAATGATTTCCTAAGAGCTACAGTTAGGTAGGCTAATACATTTGCATATATTTTCTCCATAATCTGCCTATTGAATGGAAAATGTTCTCCTTCTCTGATGACCTATTATAATTTTTCACAACCATTATAACCAGAAACTCTTATTGTGGTACGACATTTTGAATGTGTATTAAGCTCTCTTCCTACATTACCTCCTATGGGAAAAGAGACAGGGTGTGTATCTCTGATGAGACTCTTAATCTTGGCACTAGGTCTCTGGTGACAGTCTCAGTCTAACCCAGCAGCCAGGCACCAAAGATTCCTAGGTGCGTTTGGTTTGATTTTGTCCTTTTTACAAATGTGGACTAGAATCAGAATGTGATTTAAAATAATCATCTCTCAACATTCTTTTAATTAAGTTTTAGTATCAAAAATAAAATAAAATTTAGTAAGTTTATGCTTGATGGCTTTGTACAAGAGTCCATATTTCCTTGCTTTAGTGGCTTGTCCTTTCTTCCCATGAATTGGTTTAAGATAGGAATTGGCTGCCTTTTTCTATGAAAAGCCAGACAGTAAATATTTTAGGCTTTGTATGTCATAAGATTAGTGTTATCTTGTGTGTGTGTGTGTGTGTGTGTGTGTGTGTGTGTGTTTTCATGCATGTGCTTAAACAGTCTTTTAAAAATATTAAGCTAGGCTCTGGGGAGATGGTTCAATTGGTAAGACTTTCCTGTGCAAGCATGAGGACCTCAGTTTGAATTTCTAACACCTATATAAACAGCCTGATCTGGCAGGACATGTCTATAACCACGATGTTGTGGGGCAGAGACCAGCAGATCCTGGGAGCTAGCTCACTAGCCCACCAGCCTAGCAAAAATGGTGAGCTTAAAGTCTGAGAGACCCTATGTCAAGAGAATAAAGGAGAGAATGATAAAGTAAGGCATTCTTCCTCTGCCTCCACGTATGCTCACATGGAAACATGCACCTGCATTCATGTGTACACATATGCATATGCAACATATACCAAACACACAAAATGTTAGACTAATCTTGGAGCCAAAGCTTAGAAAAACAGGCACTGATCCAGATGTAGCCCATGGAGTGTAATCTGTTAGCTCTTGTTTTACGCAAATAGAACAGTGTGGTGTATTATATAAAAAGTGCACCACTTAGTTTTGTCAGGTCTCTGTATTTTACAGTATTTGCTCCATATTTTTGTATTACTGTTTTGGTTTGGTTATTCATTATTATTGTTGTTTTAACTTAGACATGATCTGTTTGGAACACCTTCTGTTGCTCGGGGAGCCCCTGAACTTGCCGTCCTCTTCCACCAGCTTCCCAGACAGTTGTAGCTGTAGGTCTGTCACCAAGCTGGGCTCCTGTAGTGTTTTCATTAGCACCTTGATCTTTCAAAATTACCTTAGATACAGTGACACCTATAAAATACCCCTCCTCACTAGTTTCTCCTTTTTTTTAGAAATTTCTACCATTCTGAAATCTTACTGCTGCAAATTTTTATATAATATTGATTTTCATGGGTTTTTTTCTGTTGTTTTGTTTTGTTGGTCTATCTATTTGCTTTCTAGACTGGTTCTCTACTGATAAGCTACATTTTCAACCCTTGTTTTTGTTTGTTTGTTTGTTTGTTTGTTTTGTTTTGTTTGCTTGTTTCTAGACAGTCTTGCTGTGTGTGTATC